TGGAGAAGTACCAAGGCCTGAAAGAGGAACTGGAGAGGATGTGGAAAGTCAAGGCCAAAGTGGTTCCAGTGGTGGTAGGAGCACTCAGGGCTGTGACTCCTAAGCTGGGAGAGTGGCTCCAACAGATCCCAAGAAAAACATCAGAGCTCTCTGTCTAGAAGACTACAGTGCTAGAAACAGCTAAGATACTGCGCAGAACCCTCAAACTCCCAGGCCTCTGGTAGAGGACCTGAGATTGAGGAAGATACATACCACCCTTAGGGATGAGAAGGGAATTTTTTAGAAAATAACATTTATCAGCTTGTATTAAGGATGGGAATATGCGGCTCTCCAGATCACAGGTTTTCAAACTTTTTCAGGCCATATTTACCTGTTAACCTGTAAAACAGCAGCAACAACAATAACATTAATAAACCTCCACTGAAGCACTAACTTGATGTTGTTGTGGGGCTTGCATGCCCCAAGGAGGATGAGAGCTATGCCAGAGGTTCAACCATACTGGACAGATCTCATCAGAGGAGCCAGACAAAGAGTGCCTCTCCCATAAACAATATGGTGAGATGCAATTTACAGAAAACTATACTGGATCAATTGTCACCTGAGTCAACAAGGACCATGCTAAATGTTCTAATTCCTGGACATCTGGTGGGAAGTGGGCCATCGGACTCAGGACTGTAGATTGGGCAACCAGGGCGAGCAGCTGCAGGACTACTGGAAGAAAAGTTGTTTACCCGTCGCAAATACACAAAGACTGAAAACAAAGAAATAATGTTCTGCTATTACAAATCAAGTCCAACAAGAAGACAGTATCTGAAAAAAATGCACCAGTTCTGGAAAGAACAACATCCAGAATCAGAAATAACAGAACAGAGGCTAGCAGATCAATCTCGATTTATAATATAAAATAAAGTATTCATAAAAGTAGAATTGGAAGAACTACAAAGGCCTACCCAGGGCAAAGAAATCGAAGTTTTACCAGAAGTAGCCCAGACTACAGAGGCAAACCTTGAGGAGTTGGCAGTAGAGTAAGCCAGCACAGTTATTGAATTGTATTCATTCCCAAACCAGGCACCCTCTCTTCTGCCTTCTCCTCAGAAAGAACAAAGCCCTCTAACTAAAAAAAAAAAAGAGGAATTGAAACAAAGAATAACTAACTGAGCATCTAGAACAGCACAAAAAGAACAGAATAAGGCTGCCTG